ATTTCATTTGAACTATTTTTATGTTCATTTGAACTATTTTTGTGTTCATTCTGTGTAATGTTTATCTAATTAATTGTCATGAATATAACTTTATGAAGATTATAAAAAAAATTTTAAAACTGAATTGGGGTAGAAAAATAGTTCAAATGAGCAAGAAATGCGTTGATTTAAACTACAGGATATGACGTCATGTCAGTAGTTCGAATGAACAATAGTTCAAACGAACAATAGTTCAAACGGACCATAGTTTAAACGGCTGTAGTTCAAATGAGAATCCACCCTTCAATCAATTAAAATTGTTAGATTCGCACTGTTCTAATTCATTAGATATGATAGATATAATACAAGTTTTGGCTGAACAGCATTCCCGCGTGGATGCATATTCTTAAACTTAAAGCAAACACGTTTTTCTTTCTCCATTTTCTTTTTCACAAAAATCAAAATTTTTATGAAGTTTTCCAGTTTCTTTTCTTACAATTTTGAGACTTACCTAAAATCAAATTTAAAGATTATATAAATTCTCCAACTAAAGGTTTTATATTACAATTTTTTAATTTTTTTTCAATTTAACCTCACACTTAATCTTCTACATGTTCCCACTTCAAAATTAAATAAAAAATAAGTTTCTTATTTATAAGTTATATGGTACAGCCGTACAGGTAGTTCAGAATCTTGATTTTAATCGTTTTTAGAAACTTTTAATAAAGTTTTTAAACATTTCAAATCTGAATTTTGTTTAAGTTGGCTTTTATTAAACTTTACAACATTGTTCTTCTAAAAGAAGTTAAAACACGAACCAAAAACTTTTTGTTTTAACACCTTCGTTTTTTTTGTTTATTTTTTCTTTCAGCGTCTGGCAATTGCTTAGAATCAACAGGTTTAAACATTTTATAGCCTTAAATTGTGCCAAATTTTGACTCCGAAAGAACATATATGCAAAAAAACTAGCAAAAAGCAAACCAAAACATTTACAACAATAGTTAAAGTCCATATTTTTTTAAAACTTTCAAGAATTCAAAAACAATTTTAAAAATAATTAGTAGCACTGTCACAGTTTCCAATTTACAGTACAATAAGCGGTACAATTAGCCGGTCAATTTGCAGTACAATTTACATTAGAATTTGCATTACTAAAAGTACAATCTGCATAACAATTTGGAATTCGGAATTACATTTTGCGGTACAATTTGCGGTACAATTTAAGGTTCAATTTACGGTACAATTTGCAACACAATTTGCAGTTCAAGTTTTGGTGCATTTTGGCATAAAATTTACTATTTGTGGTACAATTTACGATAAAATTTGCAGCACAATTTGTGGTGTGATAAGTGGTACAATTTGTGGTGTGATAAGTGGTACAGTTTGTGGTGTGATAAGTGGTACAGTTTGTGGTGTGATAAGTGGTACAGTTTGTGGTGTGATAAGTGGTACAGTTTGTGGTGTGATAAGTGGTACAATTTGTGGTGTGATAAGTGTGGTACAATTTGTGGTGTGATAAGTGGTACAGTTTGTGGTGTGATAAGTGGTACAGTTTGTGGTGTGATAAGTGGTACAATTTGTGGTGTGATAAGTGTGGTACAATTTGTGGTGTGATAAGTGGTACAGTTTTTGGTGTGATAAGTGGTACAGTTTGTGGTGTGATAGTGGTGCAGTTTTTGGTACATTTTTTACTTTTTACAAATAGTGTAAAATTTAACTAAAAGGAATCATTCAAGTTAAAAAGTAAAATATAAGGTAAAGAGGAAATTGAGGGGGGGGGGGTTCTTTGGATATATGACCATTTGAAATGTCACGTGTCAAGGTTTGTCAAAAATGTAATTTCCAAAAAAAGTTGCGGTAAATTCGAACACACAGTTCTCATAAGTTAGAAAAATGTGATTAATTTTCTGATATTTTTTTAACGTTTATCTGTTATTTTCTTATGAATGTTTGTTGTTTGCATGCAGTACGCTGCAGTACACATTTTAAAACGCAAGCATAAATTCATAAAATATTAGATTTAGATTCAGTCTGAAGCTTCCAGCTTCTTGAGTAATATGGTTACCTCAAGTTTATGCGCCCTTCTTGGGTTGCTCAGCTATGTCCAGGTTTTTAACTTGATTTCTTAAAGGGACTGTACTGGAAAAATGAAAGGGGGTATAGGCTGAAAGCTAATCACTTTAGCTCTAGATCGGGACCCATGAAAGTCATATCTGATGTTCCTGTCTCGAGAAATTGATATACAACTTTGTCAAATTTATACGAAAATTGATATATATACAATTTTGTATAAAAGTAGTAGGTTTAAAAAGATCAAATTCAACAAATAAGCAACCAATCTGAAAAAGAAGATATCCCAGAGAAAGCTAATTGTAAATTAGGTTTACTTTTATATTTGTTATTTCTATTTTTAATAGATTTCATTCATAATATTATTTATACGTCCGTATTGCTTGACCAGAAATTCCACCAATGGCAGTGCAGTAAAGTGGTCACGTGATACAGGCGGAGACACGTGATCAGTATACTGCTCTGCCATTGGTGATAGTTCTGGTCACGTGATTTAAGTTTAAGATTTTATCAATTTTACATATATGAACTTTGGTATAATTTTAACACAGTTTTATATCAATTTCTCGAGACAGGAACATCAGATAAAACTTTCATGGGTCGCGATCAAGAGCTAAAGTGATTAGCTTTCAGCCTGTACCCCCTTTCATTTTTCCTTTACAGTCCCTTTAATGATTAGTTGAATTTGGTTATTCACAATTTTTAATTCTTATTGATAAATTGAAATTATTTTTATCATTTCATAATAATTTTCAATTCTCAATGATATAGTTGAAAATTCTTTTAAGAATTTTTAATTCTAACCCATGAGTAATTTTTAATTCTAACTCCTTAGTTAAAACTATTTCTTTATAATTTTAAGGTGCTTTACAGTTAGGGTAATTTATTGTCTTAGTACATTTCTGAAAGGCTATTTAGAAACTTCCATAACTGTGTCTTGCTTTAATTATACTATATAATGCAATAATTTTAAACTAATAGTAAATATTATGGATAAACCATGCTAAAACCAACCAACCAGACCGTTTAAAAAATATTTTTGTTTTTTCACGGATCAAAATTTGGTTATAAAGTCGATAAAAATGTTTAGAAAAAAATAATTTTGTAATTTGCAAAACTTTTTTTTGTGGAAACTTATAAAAGTTCAAAAACCATCAAACCAATCAAAAACTAACTAAACCATTAACAACGTAACATGACTGCTGAAAACCTTATTTTACTTAAAAATTTTTTTTAGTTAAAATTTGATTTTGAAATTCTTTCTGTGTCAGGGATTTGGAGGGTATAGAGGTTATGGAGGATACGGAGGCCACAGAGGATATGAAGGCTATGGAATCGGAGCCTACGGAACTGGAGGCTATGGAAGATCTGGGGGCTATGGAGGATATAAAGGTTTCAGAGGTCACAATGGCTATGGAATTATGTAAGTTTTTCGTTAATTATTCTTTGTCATGGGATATTAAATTTTTTTTCTTACCAATGAAGGGTTGTTTAGCAACACACAAATTTTTGCCTTTATGAAAAAGAAAATCTGTCAAAGTTTTTTATAATTTCAGAAATGGTGCAAATTACAATTATTAGATTAATCCTTTTTTTATTTTTCTATTCTAACTTCCACACCTGACTATCTTGCCACCCTTAATCTCTTATTTATAAAAAAAATTTTTTAGTCCCAAATGGAAGAGGGATGTAGATACGAAACTCTCAGATTACAAGACTCCGGATTACAAGACTCCGGATTACAAGACACCGGATTACAACAAGACACCGGATTACAAGACTCTGGATTACAAGACACCGGATTACAAGACACCGGATTACAAGACTCCGGATTGATTACAGGGCTCCTGATTACCGGGCACCTGATTACCGGGCACCTGATTACCAGGCACCTGATTACCGGGCACCTGATTACCAGGCACCTGATTACCGGGCACCTGATTACCGGGCACCTGATTACCGGGCACCTGATTACCGGGCACCTGATTACTGGGCACCTGATTACTGGGCACCTGATTACCGGGCACCTGATCACCGTGCACCTGATTACCAGAATCCTGATTACCAGATCCCTGATTACCAGATCCCAGATTACCGTGTCTCTGATTATGATGTTCTGGATTTCCCTGCACCTAATTATGAGGTGCCTTTTAACCGTGTACCTGACTACAGTACTCCTGATTATCGTGTTCCTAATTACCATGCACCCATTTATGAGGGTACTGATTACCTTTCTAATTATCATTCACCTGACTACAAGGTTCCTGATTATGATGAACCTGATTACAAGGTTCCTGATTATGATGCACCTGATTACAAGGTCCCTGATTATGATGAACCTGATTATAAGGTTCCTGATTATGATGAACCTAATTACAAGGTTCCTGATTACCCAGCAACAGATTACAAAGCTCCTGATTACCCAGAAACTGATTACAAGGTTTCCGATTACCATGCACCTGATTACAAGGCTCCCAATTACCCCATTCCTGATTATCAAGCTCCAGAGAATTTGGTTCCAATTTACCATCCATCCTTACCATCTCCTTACCCTTCCTATCCACCTACTTCTCATCCATCATACCAACCTCCCCTTTACCCATTCTACCCCCCTTACCCTTCCTACCTACCTCCTTCCTACCAACCTCAATCATACCGACCTCACCCCTACCAGTCCTACCCTCCTACTCCTTACCCAACCCCATATCCATCCTATCCAGAGGCTTCTAAACATCTTTACCCAATTAAAGATGTTCCAACCAGCATATCTGAACCAATTTATAAAGAAACCATTTCATCAAAATACTCTCCACCAGTAAATAAAGACTCCAAACCAGGGAGATACATGGCTCCTATTGCTGATTACAAGAAATCCCCTCCTGCCAAATATAATCCTCCTGAACCCAGATATAAAGACTCTACTCTCGAATCTAAATACAAGGAATCCGCTCTTGAATACAAGGACCCTACTCCTAAATCTAATTACAAGGACTCCACTCCTGAATACAAGGACTCTAATCCTAAATACAAGGACTCTACTCCTGAATACAAAGACTCTACTCCTAAATACATGGACTCTACTCCTGAATACAAGGACTCTACTCCTAAATACAAGGACTCTACTCCTGAATACAAGGACTCTACTCCTAAATACAAGGACTCCACTCCTGAATTCAAGGACTCTACTCCTAAATACAAGGACTCTACTCCTAAATACAAGGACTCTACTCCTAAATACAAGGACTCTTCTCCATCCAAACCAACTCCTGGAACTTTTTATCAGGGATCAACCGAAGATTTATCTAGTCTTCCAGCTCCAAAATAGTAATGCTTTATTTATGCAATATTTTTTATATGATTGTAAATAAATATGATTTAATAATTTATCTTTTGAATATCTTAACTTTTGGTGTCCGATGTCATCATTTGATTGATTTAATCAAAACAAAGTTGTAAATTAGGATTATTAAAGGGAAAGCCCCGTTAGGAAACATATATGAAGAGAGTGTGCAGTATTTTATAGAAAATTTTAGTTTTGGTCCACAGAAATGAGTAATGACGTTTTTAAAAATAATTTAATAACCAGGACAAAACATAATTATCCTATAAACTGTACGGTTGGTGAAATTTCACAAAAAATTAAGCTCTAACTCAGAAAATATACACCTTAAAAACGTCTCAATGGTATCAAATTAAAGGGACAGACCGGCTATGTAAGGTAGTTGAACTGAGTATGCAATGTTGTGAACAAATTCTTTAGGATTCATTTGAGATATATTAAACATTTCCACGATTTATAATTACAGGCGAAATTTGTATGCCAATACTTAGAAATTATATAAAGTAAAATCTCATTGGTATCAAATGAATCCTAAAATTTTCTTTTAAATACTGCATTCTTGTTTCAAATACGTTACCTCGCCAGTCTCTCCCTTTACGACTTCAAAAGATTCTTGAGAATTAAATCTTCAAAAACTGTGCAATATGTGCGACTGCGTGCAAGCAGAATTATACGTTTCTGTTTAGTATGTTGTACAATGAATGCAGATCTAAAATTTATCTCAACGGACCTTGAAAAATGGATACTAAAATATATGTCAAAAGTAAAATTAAATATTTTTCAACATTTTCCCGTCGTACTTTTAGAACTTTTGAACCTCGCTAGCACCATAACCATTAAAATTTTATGTGAACTATTTTAAACATAAGCTGGCCTTTTAACCTTTGGACTAGGGACATGTTCTATCTATGCCAAATCATTTAAATTGATATTTGTCATTTTCATTTTTTTGAGTATCTCTTACATAACATTCTTTCCATATGTTACGAACTACAGGTTGAAAAAACTCTCTTTTCTTACTCGAACAGCGCCCAGTCATACAGGCGCGCTACTAGACAATCAGCAAGGGGTGGGCAAAGGGAAAGTTTTTTTTGGCCTCCCCTAAACATTTCTAGAAAAATGTGTATTATACTCAACCATGAAAAAACTACCTTACCAATTCAGGTTTTTTTGGGGGTAAATTTTTATATTTGAGGGCATTCTTTTCAGTTTGAAGCATATTACGTGGGAAAAATCTATATTTCAGGGGCAAATTTTACCCTTTGGGAGCAATTTTCAGTTAGGGGAAATCTTAAATCTTTGTTTTAGGGGCAAATTTTGTTTTGGGGGCTTTTTTAAGTTTGGGCAAATTTTTATATAGGAAATCTTAAATATTTATCTTGAGGGCAATTTTTTATTTGAAGGGAATTTTAACGTATGTGAAGGGGCTTTTTTATTCAAAGGGTTATTTTTTTTGTTGTGCACAAAACTTCTTAATTTTGGAATAACTACCTTAAAGTTGGGTTTAAAACATTTGGGGATACAAATAAATTAAATTTAGTACAAAATTATAAATATTTTGGGGCTTTATTAAAAAAGGGCAAAGCCTGGTGGGACAATTTGAATAAGAATGTGTAAGTGTAATTTTAAAAATCCAATTTGGGGGATTTTTTTAAGGAAGGTGGCATAAGTAAAAAGAATCTAAAAAATGTTACAGTGGAATTTAAGTTTGCTTTATAAGAGTTGGGGCATAAATGAGTATAGGTTAAAAAAAATTAATTTGGGGGCATTTTTTTTTTCAAATTTTTGAGAAAATCAGTTTTATTTGGAAATATTTGGACCCCAGTTAAGGACTTCTTCCTCCCCCTGCGCGCCTGCAGTCATTAAAAACACATTTTAAAATAGACTTTTGCAGAATGTCCGGGGCGTATACAAGGATTTTTACCTTGGGAGTGAGCAGTGGCGTAAATAAGGGGGGTTGGGGTTACTTACCCCCCCTAGACTAGAATCCTGGTGGTAATTACCCCACCTATATTCTTAGGGGTAATTACCCCCCCCCCGAATCTTGGGGACGCAAATATCCCCGTTTAGTAACTTGATCTCCATTCACCATGTCGTCCATGATTACAATTAATTTTTAAAAATGTAAAAAAAATGTTGGAGCTTCGCGCAGATAATCTTACTCAATCAACTTTATCAAAGTAACATTGATAAATTTTACCCAAAAATCGAGTTTTTTAATGCAGTAGCGTAATTGTACTATATGTCAAATTAAGTATAAAGCTCTTCCGGGGGGGGGGGGGTAAAATGTTAAAAGATCAAGATTATTAAGAATTAAATATTAAAGAGTAAGACATTTCTCTTTTAATATAGTGAAAATAACATATATACCTAGTACATTAACGAAAAGAAAATTTTAGAAATTATAAATTAGAATATAAACAAAGACAATATTTTTTCAAAGTTTTGCAGAGTAGCTTTTCTAAAGATTTAAAAAAGTTACATCTTTTTCTTCTTAGAATAAAACTTTTTTTTATGTTACTTAAAATAAATTAAGTTTTTTTACAGATCTTTGTAGTTAATGTCAAATGAATGACTATAATGAAGGATATAAAACAAGGTGAAAGCTGTAAGGTAGGAATTGAAGCTTTTATTTGATTGAGTTTGTAAATGCCAGAAATTAGTGGGTAAAAAAATTCTAGGGGGGGTAAAAAAAATTACACCCGCTCCCCCTACAGAATCCTTATTTACGCCCCTGGAAGTATGGTTTAAAAATTATTTTCAAGAGGGAGTGGGGGTAGCACCAGCTGGGGCCTGAAAACCGCCCTGGCAACCATAGATGTCACTGCCCCTCCCTGTATACGCCCCAGCAGTATATATTTCTACGGTAGCTTGATAATGTTTTATCTTTTTTAATTTAAATATGTGAGAAGAAATTCTAGTCAGAATTCCTTCCACGAAATGTGTTAAATTAATTTTAAGATTAATATGAAATACGAGGGTAGGAGAGAAGAAGGGGAGTACTGAAGCATCTTAATGCTCCATATGTGTGTGTGTGTGTGTATGCAAATGTCATTGTCTCCCATCAAACGAGCAATTTATTAAATTGCAAATTGTGATTTTAATGGTTGCAACTAGGGTTTCCATCGAAAATTTTGTTGAACGAAATTCGCGAAAATTTTCGTTGAACGAAATTCGCGAAAATTTTCGCTTAAAATTATTTATCGACTTTAGATGCATTTTCGACGAAATTTTTGTTCAATTTTCGTTCGATTAAAATCGAAATCTTTCATTTCGCATCAAGAAGATTGCATTTTTGCGAAAAATAAGATTTTGAAGGAAAGGTCGAAAATTTCAAATGAATTACGCAAATTTCGCCAAAAATTTCTAGCGAATTTTGCGAAAGTTTCGATTGAATTTTGCAAATCTCGCGAAAATTTCATTGACTGAACAAAATTTTGGTGAAAGTGATTTCCCTAGACTATTCCTGCCGCTAATGCCTAAGGATTCTGACTTCATTTGTTATAATTTAAATATGCAACAAATCACAAAAATTTTTTTTTTATTTTCCCTGCATGTTAAAAATTCCTGAAAAAATGTAAAAATTGAAAACAATTATTCTTCTATTCGTAACCAAAATAATCCAAATGAATTTAAATTTTTAAAAAAATAAATAGTAATTGCATTTAAATTGGTAAAATAAAATAAATCAAGATTTTACATGAAAAAATAAACATTAAATTACAGTTCAAACTAGGGGGGAAGACCAGCCACAACAATTTCTCTGTGAAAAGTAAACGTACAAAATTGAGGTATTCCTGCAAACGTGAGAGTTTTGTCTATCCACCCCCTCCGCACCGCTACATGATACATGATATTGTGTACGTCATGTATGTTCACAATGAACTCTTTAAGTATAATATATTATGTACGTACAGTAATACAGTACACCTGACCTATTATTGTGACGGTGTGTCAGTGTCAAATTGTAAATTCTGCTTCTCACTCTGCAGATTTATTATTTAGTTGTACGTAGTTCCAAATAACTTATGTGTTTCCAGGGGCGGACATAAGGATTCTGTAGGGGGGGGGTAAATATTTTTAATTTGGCCAAATTTTTTTTACCCCCCCCCCTAGAAAAATATCATGATGTATATCAAATTATTGGTTTTAATAGGGCTTGATTTGCATTTTCCACTCATTTCTGGGATTTACAAACTCAATCTAATAAAGGCTTCATTACATACCTTTCAGCTTTCACCTTGTTTTATATCCTTCATTATAGTCATTCATTTTACATTAACTACAAAGATGTGTAAAAAAACTGAATTTATTTAATTTTAACTAAACTTTTTGGCAAACATTAACAAAAAAGGCAGTATATTTTTTATTATAACCAGGTCCTGTTGTGTGTGAGTGAACTTTATTGAAGTAATCGAAGTAAAAGTTTACTAACTGTTTAGGCATCTGCAAAATGCCGCAAAAACTTTTATTATCATGAAAATAGTCGTCTTTACACAAGTGCAGACTAATCAAAAGGGAATGTATTTTTTTTTTTTTGAAGGGAAGCCGGTCAAGGCAACTCGAACTGTTACTTGTAGAGGCAGCAAATGGAGTAACCCCTGCTATTCAGGGCCTGAATATATGTTCAGGGGTAATTACCCCTAGAATTCTAGGGAGGGGTTTTTACCCCCAGGATTCTAGGGGGGGGTATTTACCCCCAGGATTCTAGGGGGGGTATTTACCCCCAGGATTCTAGGGGGGGGGTAAATAACCCCAATAACCCCCCTTATGGCCGCCACTGTGTGTTTCTGTTGTTGTAAAATTAAGTTAATAACATTTTTTACAGATTTCTCAATGAATGCTGAACTAAACAATAATGCATCAATCAGGAATTTATCATATGACAATGTGGAATTATGATTATATCATTCATAAGAGGTTGGCGTCAAAGGTTGGCGTCAAAGGTGGCGTCAATACTGAAAAAAAAATTTTATATCAATTTTTTTTTATATTAAACGTGAAGTGATACCCTCCGGAATTTGTCTATGGGGTTGGCATACATTTTCCTCTCTTTTCAAGGGGGCTCGAGCACCCGTTTGGGTCTGAAACCCACCCTTGGAAACCACAGAGTAAAAAAATCGGCCACTTTCACGTTTCACTCCAGAGTGTGTGGGGGGGGGGGATTCCCACTGTGAACGCCTTTGACTCCCCCCTCCCCCATACTCTAATGTGAAACTTGAAAATGACAGATTTTTTTAATTGTTCCTTTTTTTAAATCCAACGATATGTAAAATAATGTTGTGAAAGTAGAGTGAAAGATCAGCAAGGAAATTTAAAAATAAAAAAGAGGTATGTACTATTGTTAAAATTAATTCGAAATATAAGGAAGACAATTTTTCCGACTCAAATTGCCGTAGCCTTTTCTCTAGATGTTTGCGTACTCTAGATCTATTTCCTCCACGTAGTGCTCACATGTCAAACCCCGCTTCTTCTCCCCCCCCCCCCTTATACAGATCCCAGCCCCGGCAGTCAGCCATAAACACTCAAGACATTAACAACTCCGTCTCAACCCTGGCTCCTCCATGATGATGATTCAGATACAGAACCAACAACAGAAGACACTGCTTACACCTAGCTCCGCGCTCCACAAAGTTCCAGAGATCCGGGCGGAACCAGACTTCCTTCCATTATCCTGTATACAGGATAAGTCCGCAATATCTCCCTCCCACAGGAGAAGACTAAGCCTAGTTGTGAGTAAGCCTGCCGTCAAGATTGATGATCTGCACCACCATCATGAAGTTCTACAAACACCTCCAATTGATATTCGTCTATAGTTTCTTTATTAATTTCTAAACCAACCAATTTTAATGCCACTTGGGAAACTATTTCAAAACATCCGTTTTATTAAATAAATGTTAGAAATATCCATGTAGATCTCCTTTTATTTTATCATATTGACTTTTAAAGTCAACAACTATGTATTATGTACTATGTACTATGTACATTGTATTTTTAACTCATGGCATTAAACATTTTTGTATTAAGTACTTCATGATTTTAAACAGCGATTCTAAACATAATTTTTTGTTAGTTTTTAATCACAGTTTTTATCTTATATTTTAGAATTGCCAGATTATTTGAATAAAAATTCAACATTTTCGAAAATTGACACACCTTGAGAATCTCTAGTTCTGTATTCGTTATTTTTAACAGGAGGTTAAGTTTCAGTAAAATATTTGGACTTGCAAATATTATGGTTTACATTGCAAGTTGTAGATCATTAATGTAGGGGGTGGGAGGGGTGAGAGCGCCCCTCCCACCTTAATCCTACTTCCAAGCCAGACTTTAAGTAAGCCCTTGGGATCACATTGTATATTAGTAAGTAAAGGAGCGCGAACTAAGAGTAGAAAAGCTTTGTTTGTTAAATTTCTGAAGATTATAAATATTTTATTCTTTTATTTCTCTAGGGAGGTGTTTTTCTTACAAAAAGATGAGAAGAAAGCTATACTCAGTTTACCAGGTTAAATTCAGACCAGAATAGATTTCTTATTCTGGTCAAATTCTAGTCTAATACTCAGAATACCAGACTCGAATCCATATTCTGGTTACATTCAAGTCTGATACTCAGAATACCAGACTAGATTTCTTATTCTGTTCAAATTGTAGTCTAATACTCAGAATACCAAACTCGAATCCATATTCTGGTTACATTCTAGTCTGATACTCAGAATACCAGACTAGATTTCTTATTCTGTTCAAATTGTAGTCTTATACTCAGAATACCAAACTCGAATCCATATTCTGGTTACATTCTAGTCTGATACTCAGAATACCAGACTAGATTTCTTATTCTGTTCAAATTCTAGTCTAATACTCAGAATACCAGACTAGAATCCATATTCTGGTTACGTTCTAGTCTGATGCTCAGAATACCAGACTAGATTTCTTAATCAAAACAAATACTAGTCTGATACACAGAATACTAAACTAGAATCCAGATTCTGGGCAGATTTTAGTCTGATTCCAGAATACCAGACTAGATTTCTGGTCAAATTCTATCTGTAACTCAGAATACCACACTAGAAACCTCATTCTGGTCAAATTCTAGTCTGCTAGTCAGAAGACCAGACTAGAATCCTTAATCTGTTCAAAATCTAGTCTGGTACTCATGAATACCAGAGCTTGTGAATCGTCATTAAAATTCGCGGAAACTTTTCTTTATTTTGGTCAAGTTCTAGTCTGCATGTAATCCTTCCCTGTATTCTGGTCAAATTCTTGTCTGGTATACATCTTATGTATCCCCTCCCGTTTAATCTGGTCAAATTCTAGTCTGATATACATTTTATGATTTTCCAATTATTTTCATTATATTTGACTAACTTTAGGCCAACTAATCATAACAACTTATATTGAAAAACAAATAATAAGTTGTTGCTTGTACAATATAATTCCCCATCACCAATTTTATTTATAACTTGAATATTTAATCTAACCGAATCAAAAGTTTGAAATATCTAGCTTCTACACGTCATTGTATTGCAAAGATATAGGAATTAGAAAATCAGAGTTTGTGACAAAGATCCAATTTCTTTTCAGACAAAGCAGAAAAATATTCCAGAAAATACTATTTGAAAATNATGGGCATATTGATTGTATATCGGATACAGATGGGCATATTGATTGTATAACGGATACAGATGGGCATATTGATTGTATAACGGATACAGATGGGCATATTGATTGTATAACGGATACAGATGGGCATATTGATTGTATAACGGATACGGATGGGCATATTGGTTGTATATCGGATACAGATGGGCATATTGATTGTATATTGGATACAGATGGGCATATTGGTTGTATATCGGGTATATATGGGCATTGATTGTATGTTGGATACAGATGGGCATATTGATTGTATAACGGATACAGATGGGATATCGATTTTATAACGGGTTTTAGACTAATATTTTGTAAGAGTGATATTTTTTACAATGTTACAAAAGCGAACTTGTAGAGCATACCAATTTGAACAGTTAACATATCAGATTCTTGTGAAGCCTCCAGAAGTAAAAAAATCAACATTTTAAAAGAAACCATATCAATGCCTATCTCTAATATAGGATATAAATAATATTCTAATTATGATCAGGTGGTGTGGTGGAGGTGGATCTGGATAAGATTAGATTATTCTTGGTAATTTACATTTATTTCATGATAGATAACTCTTTTCATACAGTTTAATCCAGTACTTCGGAGATATCGCAAGAATTTATAAAATGTCGACTAGACAATTTTTCAATGTTTTTTTACTAGTTTACCCAAATCTCAGTAACTACAAAACAAATAAATAGCCATGAATAATGAATATGCAGAAACTGATTGAGAGAGCTCCATATAATTATTCAATAAAAAAACTATATGTCTGCAGCATTCCATTATCAGTAAGATAAGAATACGACATTTTAAAAATTCTTTCTATGCCTCTGAAGTTCAGGGTTAAACTGTACTAAGAATTCAGGGTTCTACGCGCCACACTTAAAGTTTTCCCAATTTTATTCACGCATCTATGCATATAATATGAAGTTGTAATCTTTTTTTGGTATGTACGATCATACAGGGTATCCCACATCATTTTAGACCGAGAACGAGTCTAAATTACGATTTTCGGGACTAATTAGAAAATTTCATTAGAATGAATCATTTTGAAAAATAACATAAGGCTTATATAAGAATTTTCTTGTGGAAAATGATAAATTTTTCGAGTATTAAGGGGTTTTTTTGGTGGTAAAGATTGGAGATAATCTAATATGATATGGGACGCTCTGTAGCTCATAAACCTCTTGACCAATTTACCTCAAAGGAATTGAAATTTTTTGCCACAAACTCAAATTTAGAATTCCTGTTACTTTACAATCTATTGGTGTAAACCTTTATTCGATCTAACAGAATATATGGTTTGACATAGCTGGCTATGGCTTACGACATTAAATTGCAGAGATATAAGGATTAGAACATCAGAGTTTGTGGCAAAAAAAACAATTCCTTTGATTGGAAAACTCGGTAGAACCATGGGAATTTTCTTAGTTTTCTGTAAAAATTCTAAATTGAGTTGACTTTTAAAGTGAAAGTTTAGTTTCCTGTCAAATGCTGGGTTTCCAAGCTAGCTTATTTATATAAATTTATCGATGATTTTTTTGGTTCAGCCGAACTTTACTTTCTGAGAATATTTGAGAATATTTTTTATAATTTCATATATTATTTGATTTCCAATATTGGAATAAATCTATCATGATTTAACTACTGTACAGGGAAGTTAATGGAATTTTACTTTACCAAGGATTCTCAAGACTAATTTTGCCGACATAATTTTATCGCCTTTCAGATTAAAATGCTCGAATTTTCTCACGAAAACCTTGCAGAGTGGGTAGTTATTATACTTAACTGCCCCATGGGACGTAAAGTAACTTAACGTCCCTCTGTTGGGGGGAATCATAGGTCGGTAATGTAAAATATTTAAGATTGTTTATTGATTAGGTTGGGGTTAATCTAATAATCCTGGCAGCAGCAACAGTATCCTACTTGGCTTGGATGGATGCTAAGTATAATTGGCAGGTCAATTTTTTCATCTTCTAATCATTTTTTAAAATTGTAATTTTATTGTTCTTTCCGAATAAATTTGATACATTTATTTCAACTAATTTGAATTTTCAAACTGGAAAAACTGACTGCGCTCCGTTTTCTCTTCTGGAGGGTTTAGGCAACTGTTTAAACTAAAATTGAGTCCAACGCGATTCCTTTTTAATGCTTTCAATGTACCATTTGAGTCTGAATTTAGTGAATTTGAGCCGAGTCTCAAATCTGGCGGCCGAAATCCGCCAAAAACCGGTTTCACGATTTATCAAATGTTTCACCATTTACATAGCTGAGAAATTGCTTACCTGAAATAATAATCATTTAACAGTTTAATCATATAAATATAGAGCATTGTATTTTCGAGTGACAAATGTTTAATACTATTATTAGCCAACTCCGATGGCGGTCTAGCTTTCCATGTCGGGGTGGTTTTAAGATCTTTCTCCTTATACCATTGTTGAGATAGAGGAGCCATCAACCTTCAGTCCGAGTTTTTGTGTCTACAGCCTCATTTATGGAGAGATTACAAAGGTTTACAAATTGCAATGAAGATTATGTAGATAAACTCAGATGAACAGCCTGGTAGGAATGTTCTCCGATGCCTTGATGAGCTACCGGAGCTGGAGAACAACCAACAAATGATCTTTAAGGTAAATCATCATTTGAAATAGTTTGGAGATGTTGGGTACATATATAGTTAATATGGAGCTGTGGGGTGTTCTTAGATGAAGTTATTTGGCACAATGTGAACTAAATAGAAGGATAAGGTCAAGTTTAGGCGACATTACTGCTATGACATTGTAACCTCGCTTCTCTTCCAGTTTTGATATTATATACAAGTATTCAAAAAGTAAACTTATCTTTTTACTTAAGTTAATAATTCAAAACATTTTTGTTGTTTGCAATAGCTCTACAATCTGAGATCTTTATTTTTATAGCTTGTATGATGAAAAACATAAAAATAATTCACTCTTAAGTGCAATATAGTATGGCGTGGTGGACAGTTGGGAGATGCGGAAAATTTGAAAACTTTACTTTTGCATGCTGTTTTGAGAAGTATTTGTACACGTTTGTTAAAAAAAAACATTTTGTTGAGAGGATTTTCTGATTGCTTTAGGGAATAGTTGCTTTTAACTAAACTTGACTTCGTCTGCTCCGCTGGTTGAATCTTCCTTATTTCAGGGTATACACTGTTACCTAGACCCTATGCTCTACCTATCTTCCTTTAATCTTCTCATATACTGGATTATATATGGAGTCTTCATTTCAGCAAGGTAACCTAGTAGTAGGAGAGGGATAGGAGTAGGAGAGGGATGGGAGTAGGAGAGGGATAGGAATAGGAGAGAGATGGGAGTAGGAGAGGGATGGGAGTAGGAGAGGGATGGAAGTAGGAGAGGGATGGGAGTAGGAGAGGGATGGGAGTAGGAGAGGGATGGAAGTAGGAGAGGGATGGGAGTAGGAGAGGGATGGGAGTAGGAGAGGGATAGGAGTAGGAGAGGGATGGAAGTAGGAGAGGGATGGGAGTAGGAGAGGGATGGGAGTAGGAGAGGGATGGGAGTAGGAGAGGGATGGGAGTAGGAGAGGGATGGGAGTAGGAGAGGGATGGAAGTAGGAGAGGGATGGGAGTAGGAGAGGGATGGGAGTAGGAGAGGGATGGGAGTAGGAGAGAATAATTTGGAATAAAGGAAAGAAAAAATACCCAAAAATTAAAGTTTAAACAGAAAATGGGGAGATGTAGCAGAAGAAAAGACAGAAAGAGAGAAAGGTTTCAAGAAAGAAAAGGAAAAAGAAATAGAGGGAGCAAGAAAAGAAAGGTAACAAGAAAGAAAGACAACAAGTAAAAAAAGGCAGTAAGAAAATAAGGTTGCAAGAAAGAAAGGTAGCAAGAAATAAAGGCAGCAAGAAAGAAAGGCAGTAAGAAAATAGAGGTAGCAAGAAAATAAGGTAGCAAGAAAGAAAGGCAGCAAGAAAGAAAGGTAGCAAGAAAGAAAGGTAACAAGAAAGAAAGGTAACAAGAAAGTAAGGCAGTAAAAAAATAAGGTTGCAAGAAAGAAAGCAAGAAAGAAAGGTAGCAAGAAATAAAAGCAGCAAGAAAGCCAGAAAGAAAGAAAGGATGAAATAAAGAATGGAAGCAAGAAAGGAAGAAATCCCCTAGGAGACTGCTGGAAAGAAACTAGATATTTCTAAAATTGGTTTGGAAGGATTTCCAATATTTTGCATCCAACCAATAAATATTCAACAATATTCATTGACAGATTTTACGCTCTCCTATATCCACCTGATACACTTCAGATTGGTAGAAAGTACAACCCTCCTATATCCACCTGATACACTTCAGATTGGTAGAAAGTACAATATTTCCATTTTTAAACAAGTTTTTGTTATGGTTTCTTTGGATTTCTTTTACAGGATATCTGAAACTCATGGAAGCTAAATTATTATATACGTGACCTAAATATTAAAGTATCTCTTTATTTCTGTTTTCTCAGTTCTAGATCAGAAGGGAAAAATTTAAATAGCAAAACAATTTCTTTGCATTTGCCCAAAATTACGTCTCATTCTTTAAATACGGTTAAGTAAACTATACATATCCAATACACGTAGTACTCGAACTCGAACTCTTAATGTACTTTGGTCTAAGTACGATGTGCTCCTTGACTCTTGACTCTGTACCTTTTATTATGTGAAGTGTAATCCATCCACCTGGGAAAAGTATAGTGTATTATTCTATGTATCCTGGTCAAAGTACAGTGTACTCGTACTCAAACAGTGAACAGTGTACTCCCTGTACTCTAAACTCTGTACAGTGTAGGCCATGTACTCTAAACTTTGTACAACGTACTTCCTGTACCTTAAACAATGAACAGTGTACTTCCTGTACCCTAAACAATGAACTTTGTACTCCCTGTGTATTAAACGCCTACTCCATAACAATTTCATCGAGACGTATATATCCAGGTATACTCGATAACAAGATCAACCATGCTCAACTCCCTGATTCTACAGGACACACCGTCCAAATCTTAACCAGACTTAAAGGGACTGAAAAGGAAAAATGAAAGGGGGTAAAGGATGAAACCTTCAACTCCTCGGTTCTAAAGGACACACAGTCCAAATCTTAAAGAAGCTTAACTCCCCGGTTATAAAGGACACACAGCCCAAATCTCAACCAGGCTTAACTCCCTGGTTCTAAAGGACTCACAGTCCAAATCTCAACCAGGGTTAACTCCCCGGTTACACAGTCCAAATCTCAACCAGGCTTGACTCCCCGGTTCTAAAGGACACGCATTCCAAATCTCAACCAGACTTAAATCACCAGTTCTAAAGGACAAACAGTCCAACTGAAATTGGTACACAGGCAATTTCTCAACAAGTACCAAAACTTTCTTTCAGTCTTACTGAGGCTTCTGATAACTTGATCAAAAGCAGACGCTCAGTGAACTGATCTATATATCATAGTTCATATTAGATTTGAGTTATTTACAGCGTAATTACAAGTTATGAGCGGTTACTATCTATGACGCATTAAATCACATTGTACAACCTGTACCCTAAACTCTTTACAGTGTACTCCATGTACCTTTAACTCTTTACAGTGTACTCCCTGTACCCTTAACTCTTTACAGTGTATTACCTGTACTCTAAACTCTGTACAGTGTATTCCCTGTACTCTAAACTCTGTACAGTGTATTCCCTGTACTTTAAACTCTGTGCAGTGTATTCCCTATAATCTAGATTCTGTACAGTGTATTTCCTGTATTCTAAACTCTGTACAGTGTATTCCCTGTATACTCTAAACTCTGTACAGTGTACTGCAAGATACTCCTAGATTTGGTGGATTCTGTGATATCTGCAGTGTGTTGATGACCCTCCCCCACACCCTCGTCATCATTATCTGGGAGGTTAGCAGATTTATTTATTCACAATTAAATCAAGCTATACAGTAAACATTGGTGAAAATTGTTCCCCAACTAATGAGACCAGGGACCGAAAGTAATGAATTGGAGAGGTCACTGAATTACCTACCGCAGACTCATGAATCTCATGAATCATTAACTTTGATTTAAGATTTGAACCGGCGGCAGATAGTTCTGCGACCCAGCTCAAATTCATTAATTTCGGTCCTAGTAACTATATTTTATGAATAGTGAGAATTAGTTGAACCATGCACCACCGACTAATCCAATTCTTTTATAAGCCATCCGGGTCATGGTTAAGGAAAGTGGTTCAATTTATTCTACATAGTTTGACTACTTCTCATATTCATAAAATCTGGTCTATCGATTTTGAAAGGTTAATTCGGCATTAGCCTCTCCAACGCTTTATACTTGTAGCCATGGATATGGAGATTTTAAAGCTGAAAAGTGTTTGTTTGAAAGTTTCAGTTCTGATTGTTAAATTGAAAAAGTAGGACAAGAAATATTGTCGAATTTTGTTTTATGTTGCAATCTTTTCCCTATTTCATAAATACATTCAAACAACTTAGTATCTAGCTTTCTTTTATCATTGTTGTTGATTTTATCTATTTCAGATAGGTGTTGCTGCATCAATTATCAGTGTACTTTTTGCCCTCAAAGACCTTCCTTGGAATGAGCTGAAAGAGTTCAGTGAACAGTCCTACACAGATCTTAGGTTAGTTTAGAGAACAGTCCTATACAGATCTAAGATTAGTTTAGAGAACAGTCCTACACAGATCTTAGGCTAGTTTAGAGAACAGTCCTATATAAATCTAAGGTTAGTTCAGAGAACAGTCCTATACAGATCCAAGGTTAGATTAGAGAACAGTCCTACACAAATCTTAGGTTAGTTCAGAGAACAGTCTTATATAGATCTTAGGTTAGTTTATAGATGATTCCTACACAGATCTTAGGTTAGTTTAGAGAACAGTCCTACACAGATCTTAGGTTAGTTTAGAGAACAGTCCTATACATATCTTAAGTTAGTTTAGTGAATAGCCTTATACAGATATTAAATTAGTTTAGAGAACAGTCCTATACAGATCTTAGTTTAGTTTAGAGAACAGTCCTATACAGATCTTAGATTAGTTTAGTGAGCAGTCCTACACAGATCTTAGGTTAGTTTAGAGAACAGACCTCACTAGATCTAAGGTTAGTTTAGAGAACAGTCCTACACAGATCTTAGGTTAGTTTAGAGAAAAGTCCTATACAGATCTAAGGTTAGTTTAGAGAACAGTCCTATAGAGATCATAGGTTAGTTTAGAGAACAGTCCTACACAGATCTTAGGTTAGTTTAGAGAACATTTCTAAACAGATCTTAGATTAGTTTTGTGAGCAGCCCTATAAAAATATTAGGTTAGTTTAATTATATCTAAACATGCTTCCTGTTTTTTTTAAAGAATAAAAATTAAAAGTAAATTGGTAGAATCTTCCCTTCCAAGCGTTTCTGAAGTTCTTAAATTTCGAAATTTTTTTATTTTACTTGAAGGTCAACAATTTAATCTTTTTTAGAAATATTTCGACTTTTTATTATTATATTCCAGGTATATTGAAGAGTTCTATCAACGATGGGGTCCCTGGATTGCTGTCCTTTACATACTCTGCTTTCCTGTCCAGGTTTATGCATAGACATCATAAAATTTACAACAAAGAGATTAGGATTCTGATCCCCGTTTGATCCGCAACATTTTGGCTTCCTGAACCCTGATCCAGATCCACAAAGAATTGCGGATCCACGGGTTTTGGATCCAAGCATGAAAAATATCAACCAAACCTGCTAAAAAACCTTTTGTTCTCAAAACATAAAACTCGTTTGTTAATTTCCTAAAAATGGTCGAAATTTAACCAAAAATTCTAAGTTAGTCGGAATAAGCGAAATGCAAGTTTAAGTTTATTAAATATGTATTTGTTTGTTAGAAACAGATTCACAGTTTACACAGTCTTATCTTATTTGCACTCAAACTGTTAATGACAGAAACTCGAACCTTTAAAGTTTATTATCCAGAAAACTTCTTTAAAATAAAGTTTATTATCAAGAAAACTTCTTTGTCTCTTTTTTTGGTGTTTTTTCCGAAGGCATTCTCCAAAGGTGACTTCCCAAGTGAACATTCCCAAATGTGCAATTTCGCAACTTTCCAAAGGTTGGGTTATGCCATCTGATCCGCACCGCAGGCTGCAATGAGGGAGGGGGGTTCTGCGGCTAGGATGGGCTAAAAAAACATCCTTTTTTGACCTTTTATTGTCCCAAAGTTCTGTAGAAGTGACAGTAGAACAAAGAGAGAATAAAGGGGTTTTCCATTTACTTTGATGGATTAGGTAACGTACATCTTATTAATTATTACTTGTAGAAAAAAAAACAAATATTATTTTTAAATCAATTTTTATGTTTTGCTTTTAGATCAGTTTCGTTTGCCTTCCCTTTCTAATGACAAGAAGTCCAATAGAAACTGATTCAAGCAGTAGTAAACAAATAACTGCCTCAAACAGCACTGAAAACCCATCTCAGGTTAATTTAGATTTATATTGTGCATTCTTTGAATCTACAAAAGAACTAGCTGAAGTTCCCGACGTTGCCCGTGGAAAACAAACATCTATCTATATATATATTTGGCTTGTATGTTTGTTTGTTAGCTTGTGTCCAATAAACGTCAAAACGGCTTAACCGATCGGGCCAACATTTTGTGTGGGACCTCACATGACCACAGGAAAGATTTTTGAATGAATAAGAAATCAAATTAGCCTCAAAACAAAATTTGATTAACATTTGAAAATCCACGAAATTTTTTTTTATAAAATCCGCGAACTTTTTTCTTGTTTTTGTTTTACAATACAATGTATAAAAAGAGAAAATGTTCACAATGGAAATAAAAGCGAAGATATATTTATAGTCATATACACAGCCTGTTAAACAGTTAACCCCAAGCAATAAGGGTTAATCTAGATCAATTTAAATGTCAGTTGCGTACCCGTCAATTTGCATAGATATAGAGACTTCCTTTTGAAACATTGTTGCACTATTTTGTAGCGTCTTTCGCGAAAACTTAAATGATTTCCAGATTTATCAGAGCTTGTCCCAAAACTTAATATTCAAAAAATTTTGTAAAATTTGGCACAAAGTTGATATTTTACGATCTTCGCGAACTTTGTTGGAAATTCGCAGCATCAAGTTTCAAACATCGTAAAAATATCAAAAATCGTCCCAATAGTTTTTTGTTCCCCTCTTATTAGTGATTCCTACATCCTCCTTAAATAACGTTTTATGAAACTCATTTTAAACTGATAAACATTATTATTGTATAATTTTTACAATTTCTTCTATATATATATTTGTTCTGGGGTTAGCGTCCTCTCATAAATTCTTTTTATCTATATTTATGACCTGGTTAAAGAAATTCGGCTTTACCAAGATTACTAAACTAGATTTCCACCGGTTATTTTATTGCTTAAAGGAACCGTTAACATGAACCTCCATTTGTACAACGGTACCCTTTAACCCGTTTTATAACCAAAATATACTCATGATGTTATCCTTGTTCTACCTTCTACAAATTCATTAGTTTCAATTGTGGTTTCTTTAAAAGAAAGGGAAAGGGTACCATTGTAAATCTGGTGTGCCTGTTTATTTTTTGAATTGAGGGTAAGTTGAAATTACGGAGAACAGTCACTTTAAATCGACCGTTTCTATTTTTTTTAAAAACTTTTTACAAAAATGTAGCTTAGGATTAAAATGACTTTTATTAGAAACTCCAAGGTGTCCCAAAAAACGCTCTTTCAGACATTATGGCTCTTACCATGGTTCGATTCTTAAATTTTGAACCAGTTTTAAAAATCTGTGGAACATTTCCGATCGATTGATATCAATATTTAGTATTTAGCAGACAAATTAAAGAAATTAATACAGTTGAAATTTGACATTTTGGCATGTTTTGATCAAATTGATTTCATGAATTTGAAAAACTGGAAATCTTATTAAAAAATGCGCAGGTATTCTTTAAGAATGACAAAACCTTGATTTACAATGCATGAAAGAAATTTCCTGGTTGTATAAATTTGGCAAATTTCGGGTTGTGTACTTTATAATATAAATAAAATAATGAATTATCTTTTAGAGAGGAAAAGATGTTGTGCAAGGTCGATATCTGATCAAGATTAAAGAAAAGTTTCTTGACCTGCTCTCTAAACTTATTAATGGCTCAAGCAAACCAACGGATAACAAACAGGAAATACCCACTTCCTGTAAAAGGTTTGTATAGACATTTCTTTGTTAAAGGGACATTCAACGTGATTTTAGGTGTTCCTTCATCTAAAGATTTGAATTCCCGGTTCACAATAGTAACCTTTAAAGGGAGTGTTCGCGAAAAATGAAAAGGGGTATAGGCTTACGGCGAAAAATAATCGCTTTTGATCGCTACTGATCTTACTTCTATCTGTTGGGTCTATAAGGAGAAAATTGATAAAAACGACTTATAATGAAGAACGTAGCGTCCATACAAATTCAGAAAGTTGCAATAAACGACTCGTATCGTAAAATAATTAATTTAATTTTAAACAAATCATTCAGATATTACAACCTAATGTCATCGATTTTTTTTGACGCATTCCTTATAGTTAATATTTCATAATATTTGATAGTTGTTTTATATACAATGCACTTAAAACGATTTTTTTCCGCTAGGTGTCTGCCACGTGTAATCATTCAAAGCATCGAGAGCAGAGACAAATGGCGGCCAACTATTTCAAGGGTTGGCCGGCCCTAAGCTCTGCTGTTTCAGATACATCAGTCAATTTTTTTGCTTTTCTTTAATGCATTAATTCACGAGTCATCTAATTTAAATATCTAAGAATCTAGAATAGACTTAATTTTTTCTTAGACAAAGGTACGATCGTTGATTATCCCTTTCAGTTTAGGGTCAATTAGCATTTAATTAAAAACTTTCTTGAAATACTTATTATAATAGTTTTAATCAATAGTTCTTGTTTAACTGATTCCCCTCCCTCTAACATAAATTTTAAGCTGAAGAAAATAATTTAAAACTTTTCAAAAATTCTCAGCTATAAATGGAGCAGTTTGCATTTCATGAGACTCTTAAACTTGGCTCTCCGCGTTCAATTTATTTATGTTTTACAATTAAACTTCAACTGCTTTATTCAAAATATCTCTTTATCACGAAACCCGGCCAACCATAAAACATTTTAAAAACGTTTTTTTTCAATCTTAGTTCTAAAATCAATTTTTAAACGTTTGAGGACTGCTTAAGCATGGCCGGTTCACAGCGGTACCATTTACATCTTTATATGTCTAACAAGAGTTTCTATTTTGAACAAAGTTAATTTCCTTCCATTATTCTGTTGCATAAATATGCAAAGTCACTTTTATAGAGAACCGCAATGGAAAATAATCAATATTCAGACAAAGCTTGCATGCTATTGTGAATCAGACCACTCGGGACCCTTGGGCGGACACTTACGTGGACAGACAGATTTATTGTAATATTTTAACCGCGTGTTCTTTCTTTTGTCCGGACTATATTTGATGTGACACCGACCACTGTACCACCATGTGTCCGGACTATGTATGATAGGACACCGACCACTGGTCATACCATGTGTCCGGACTATGTATGATAGGACACCGACCACTGGTCATACCATGTGTCCAGACTATGTCTGCTGTGACACCAACCACTGTCCTGCCATGTGTCCGGATTATGTCTAATGTAACACGGACCACTGTCATACCATGTGTTCGGATTATGTCTGATGTGACACCGACCACTGTTCATACCATGTGTCCGGACTATGCTTGATGTGACACCGACCACTGTTCATACCATGTGTCCGGACTATGTCTGATGTGACACCGACACTGTTCATACCATGTGTCCGGACTATGGCTGATGTGACACCGACCGTACTGTTCCACCATGTGTACAATGTCATCTTATCTTAATGAATATAAAAATATCATTGACCAAGATATATCACAGACTCAGCATTAGAACAGTTTTTATTGACTTTAGCTTGGGCCTGCAATCTTTTAAATGGAGGGTCACTTGAAATTACGTTTACATTCTTCAGTCCCTTCTTTTGATCAATTATTTTTCAATAAAGTATTCAATTTACACCAAAATACGAAAAAACTTAAACTGAAATATATGTTGACAAAGAATATTAAACTAACGTCAGCTTGTAACTAACCTCAACCTTTTATACGAACCTTCTTGCTAAAAAATACTGACAAAAGATTTAGTCTGTTCTGTTAAAAGTCTATGTTATGCAAGCCCTGTAAATTATGAATCCGGCAAAAAGATGAGACAGCTCTATGATTTTCTCCCATATACAGTCACGAGAAATTATTTCAATGCATTCAAATGATGCAACGGGAAAAGTTTCAACTTCAATGAACTCTCTTTAATCATCATCAAGACGACCCCCCCTCCCCCTCTCCCCCTAATTGAGTTTAACCCTCCGTCTCTCTCTCTGAAGTAGAACCAACTTCAAAAGAGATGTTTTCTAGAAAATAGTTAGAATTTGATTGCAATTTCCGGGAGAAGCAAACTAAAAGGTTTTCAAGTAAATTCAATTCCTTCTGTTCTCATCAGTAGTACCTTCTCAGATTGACGGCGCACCGGCCAGTTGAGAAAAAAATATTTTTTTTTATTTAAAGGACTGTCGCAATTTTAAATAACCCTGCGTTAAAGAACACCCTTCCCGATTCACAATGGCACCTTTTAAAACTATATATACCCAGTAGTGTGGATAATATAGTCGTTTTTTAGCTTAAAACTGTATTTTAGCAATTTCCTGCATTGTTTCTCTTTGATGTATAAATCCGCAAGTCGCTTTGTAAAGAACCCTAAATTGAACATAGTCAATTTTTCAAAAAAAACTAGAATAATGAAAAAAAACTAATTCTGAAAACGTATCCACCCCCCCAAAGTAGGAGTTTTGAACGTCGAATTTACGCTCAAACTCAGGATTTACAGATCTTTAAAAAGTTTAATATGAATTAAAATGAATCCAAAAGAAGTTTTCCACAACACTGCATACTCAGTTCAACTACCTTACATAGCCGGTCACTTCCTTTAACAATTTTTTAGAATAACAATTTCTCGTTAAATAATCCTAATTGATTTCAGGAATGATATATCCGACGACTCTGAGTATGTTTGCCTAGAGGAACTGGATACAAGTACAGCTGATACTGATCCTGAGGTTGGTAATATTTAATCTGGATACTTAATCTGGATTTGGTGATGTGTAATGTATTGTGTTACATATTGAGACATGGTGAATCATTGGTTTATACTTGGTGATCTATTGGTTTATACTTGTTGATATACTTGGTGATTCATTGGTATTCTGTGATTCATTGGTGTTACTTGGTGTTGTGATTCATTGTTACTTGATGACACTTGGTGATTCATTGGTGTTTCTTGGTGATATACTTGGTGATTCATTGGTGTTACTTGGTGATATTCTTCGTGATTCATTGGTGTTTTTTGGTGATGCACACTGCACAGTGATGCAGTAATACTTAGGGGTACAGTGCAGCATATAACTTGACATCAAGGATTAATTAAGAAATTAAGTTAGCAATGAACAAAAGCTTATCAAAGCACTGGTTAGCATTAAAAAAGTGTATTTTCTGCCAATTCTCAACAAAAACCCACAATATATAATGCCTTTAAAAATTAATCAAGATAGGAATCAATAAAAAGTTAGTACTAAAAAAAGGGTGGCAGAGCGCCCCCAAATTACCAGTTATTCTATCTTAATAATACACAGAAAAGGCATTCACATTTACAGCACAAAATTTAGTTATCGCAGTTATTATGCATCACCCTGTGTTCCAGCTGTATTTTGACTCACCCTGTAATATCTCCCTTTATTACATTGTTAAGGTCCTGGCATGATATTGCAAAGCTTATTTCTCTTTTTATTCAACCATGATATCCCATTAACCCGTGGTAAACTCAGGGATCAACCATAGAGGACACTCGAGCTTAGACTCAACCATAGAGGACACTCGAGCTTAGACTCAACCATAGAGGGCACTCGAGCTTAGACTCAACCATAGTGGACAAAACTTAGACTTAACCAGAGAGAACATAACTTAGACTCAACCATAGAGGACACAACTTAGACTCAACCATAGAGGACACAACTTAAACTTAACCATAGAGGATAAAACTTAGACTCAACCATAGAGGACACATCCGTGGTAAACTCAGGGATCAACCATAGAGGACACTCGAGCTTAGACTCAACCATAGAGGACACTCGAGCTTAGACTCAACCATAGAGGACACAACTTAGACTAAACCATAGAGGACACAACTTAGACTCAACCATAGAGGATACAACTTAGACTCAACCATAGAGGACACATCTTAGACTCAACCATAGAGGACACTCGAGCTTAGACTCAACCATAGAGGACACAACTTAGACTAAACCATAGAGGACACAACTTAGACTCGACCATAGAGGACACAACTTAGACTCAACCATAGAGGACACGACTTAGTCTCGACCATAGAGGACACAACTTAGACTCAACTATAGAGGACACTCGAGCTTAAACTCAACTATAGAGGACACAACTAGGACTCAACCATAGAGGATACAACTTAGACTCAACCATAGAGGATGCAACTTAGACTCGACCATATCAAGAACACATCTTAAGCTCAACCATAGAGGATACAACTTAGGCTCTACCATAGAGGACACTCTAAACTTGGACTTAACCATTGAGGATATACTCCTTAGATTCATCCGTAAAGGAACCTTTAGCTTGGTCTCAACCATAGATGACACTCTAGCTTGGTCTCAACCATAGAGGACACTCTAGCTTAGTCTCAACCATAGAGGATACCTAACGCTGAAGAATACTCTAGTTTGAGCTGACCCTATAGTTATTTATACTTATCTATGCGAACCTTACTCTGTATCCTATCTCCATTTCACCATATTTAATGTATTATTATGGACATTAGAATCAGATTTAAGTGTCAATCTCGACTCTTGGCCTCATGTTCTACTCCAGCCAGAACCAGGGCATCAAGAATTTATAAAAATTTTACACAAGAGATTTTACAGAATCTCCCCCCTAGTTCAATTATCTTCTTTTTCTAAAAATTATTTAAATTTCATAAGAAAAAAAATTTTAATTAATGATTATAATTTTTTAAGCAATTTTTTTAAATCCAAAAGTTCTTTGAATAAATTATTATTTTTATTCAATTTTGAGTTGATTTGTAAAATGCTAGATTGATTGATTGATTGTTGAATAAAAGCGTGTTATTGGATTAAATTTGAACTAAAGCATTGGATTGAAAGAGTAAAAATTTGGCTTTTCATCGAACTGTGTACACACAGAGTTAGGTTTGAAAAGAAATATTGAATGGTTTGATTTTACTGATAACAAATTTATTGTGAGTAAAATATGTGCAGTAAGAGGGGGGGAGGGCTTGTTTCCATCTTCTGTGAACCCAACTGATTCAGCAATAAATAATAAAAGTATTGAAACATGATCAAACTAGATTTAATATTTTGACAACTTTCAACAGCTTGCTTTTTATATTAGTTTTCTTGATTTGTCCAGTATTATTTTATTATTTATCATACTGCAAAGCATGAAATAAACCTTAAAAACAATATCAAATAAATAAACTATGTTGAGTGAAAAGTATGCTCATATCTAAATGCAGTAAACGCAATTTACATTTATTTCATGGTTAAAATTTACTGAAGAATATGTTTGAAGATGATAAGAAGCTTTTTATAAATAATTCTATCAATAGTTGGCCAGCCTTTATCAATGTGAAATGCCTCTGGAAAAGCTTGAGCACTTCAAAACCCAGGTGAATAATTATTTATTGATTAAAAATTCAAATTCAAGGTTTTGCAAAAATTTAGTTTCTGACCGTTATTGAACACTTATAACTCAGATGTTCTAGCTTGTGTTTGTTGATTTTGGAAATTACTAAAATTCTTTATGTTTTGAAGGAATTTAATATATCTTGACCTGAATAAAATCATCATTTCGGCCCAGGCCTACATACAATTTAGGCCCCGTTGGTTCAGCTGTTGCAAAGTTTATAAACAAGACAAATATTAATATATTCTAAAAAATATTCATTATTTTAGAAACTGTTTTCTCGTGTACGTCGTGTGTCCTGGCGTAGTGGTCAAACAGCTGGTCAGGCGGTCCTGGGCACCATGCAGAAGTAAGTTTTGTATTTTTAACTATTCCTTTTGTTGTTGTTAGTTGATTTTGATGAATTTCTGGACTATAATGCATGGCTTTGATCTGGATTTTTCAAGTTTTGAACGAAAATTTGTGGCATGACAGCAAGATATTTAGGTTTAACTCCTTTAAAAACTGTGGAATAGAAAATTAATCAATTAAGTAGAGATAAATATCCAGTTTTGAAGAATTTTTCAAAATGAAAAAAAAACTAGTTTTAATTTTTAGTTAATTACAGAGTGTGCTCTAACCCTCAATATCAAGCCATTCTATTCATTTTTGGTTTCCTGGATATCTAATTCTTCTGCGGCAAATATTGTTCTTTTTGTAATCAATGGTTTGTTCAATAATTCATAGAAAAGTTTCTAATGCAGAGATGAAAATTAGACGGTATTGGTATTTTCCTAAAGGCATTTTCGTAAAGGTGACTTCCCAAATAACAACTTCCCAAAAGTGCAATTTCCCAAGCGCCAACTTCCCAAAGGTTAGGTTAGAATTTTGGAGGCGCCGCATGCTGTAAAAGCAGTAAAGCGCTGGGAATAGAACAGGTTAGGGGCCAAGTGCTGTGGCAAGGACAGACTTGGGAAATTGCTCATTTGGAAAGTTGCCACTTGGGAAAACGCATTTGGAAAATACCTAACATACTTTAAGACATGCATGGCAATGCACATAAGAGTAGGGAGAAAAATTCAAGTGAAAATGATTCAGGAAGGTGCCTTTCTCTTTCTCACTAATCACATATTCCACATTTCCTCGACATGAAATCTTCTTATAATAGGTTTGTAGCAGGCGTGAGCCTGGTTGGATTAGAATGATATATCTGGCTGAGAGCTAGGTGTTGAGTAAGGAATATCATATTAGATTACGGAGAAGGTTCAGGGTTAACCAGATAGGATAAGACTTCAGAGACAACTGGACAGAAATTTTCAGTCTTTTTTTAACATTCATAATTTGCTCTAGCTTCTAATGACTTGCTTAATGACACTGATACGCGTAATGTCAAGTGACCCTCCATGCAAAGCGGACAAAGCCCGATTCACAACGGTACCGTTAAAAGCTTTGTCTGATCAAGTATGAATTATGAAAGCGATGTTTATAATTTTTAAATCTAATTATTTTCCACTGCGTGTATTCTGTAAAAGTGACTTGCGCATTTCTATGGCAGGAAAACATAAAGGAATTATTATAATGAAATAATGTTCAACCTAGAAATACTACGATATCTCGCACATTATTATGATCAGATAAGGTTTCAAGGGTACCGTTGTGAATCAGGCATTGTCATCTTTGTATGGAGGGTCACTTAAAAGTACGCGTGTAGCGTACTGTCCCTTGAATGCGCATATCCGATATATTAACTAGATATTTCAAATCTTTTATTAACTGTTTTTTAGAAGTACTCAAGGCTTTATATGGAACAAACTGATAATTCGGTGTTCGCGTTTAGAACAAAATATTTTATCAAACTTTATATCTAATTTTTTCACATTGGGGTTGAAATAATTATTTACTACTTTTTCTTTTTCTTTATTCTATTTCTTTTTTCTTTGTATTTTCTGTGATGAGGAAAGAGTGAATTGTTGATTAGAGAGAAGACACAATAATAATAATAATGTTCTTTTCCACATAGATTTACTCAACAAGGAACCTAGAAAACTCTTATACACACATTTCAGAAAAAAAAATATTTGATATTATTGTCAATAGAATTTGTAGTGATTTGTTTAGATAAAGTTGCACCATTCTAAGCTTTTCCATTTTCTTTTTCGACAATGTTATTATCATTTTTAGCCACAAAAACAGATATTTTTAAAATCGCCATTTTTTCAACTCTCTCAACCCTTTTATACACCCCTGGGCCTATAGTTAAAGCGCAAATGACAATGGCTGGGATTAAGTAATTTGTGTAAATTCCCCTCCTCCCCTCCCTGCATTGTCTCAGCATTGTCATCTAACCACGTCAAATCAAACTTTGCTATTCTAAACTTTAGCAGTAATCTCTATAATTTCCCAAAGTTCCGCTCCCTATAGGAAAAATATTCTGAAGATAAAATAATTGGCAAACTTAGTTTTTTTTCTTCCTATTTTGCAGAAACTTGTGTTGTGTCTGAAATACTGTGTAAATGTGTTGACCCTAACTTTATTCTTAAGTTTTCTATGAAAAGTAAAGTTAGAAATATATAAACTCTGTAAGTATCAACAGTATTCAGTGTAACTCAACAAAATTCAGACGAACTTGATACATACAAGTTCAGAATCAAACACACACTTTTTCTTCATTTTAATACCCAGCAGCACTTTCATGTTTCCTCGATATTCTAATTTTTCATAACATTTTTCTAATCAATGAAGAGCACTAATTCAAGAAGAACAGTTAAAATAATTTTGTTTTAAAAAAACCTGATTTTACATTTAAAGCCAAATTAAAAATGATATAAATAATGTATTTTATTAGCAATGTTTAATAGCATGGTATGTCCGATTCACAACGGCGCCCTTTATCATATCAAGAACGAATTGGATTTTAAAATTCATTATTTTTAATTTTGGTTTCTCCACAAAAGGAACTTAGCACATGTCTTCTTATGAAAATACCAGTGGTGCTGTCTTCTGAAGATACCAGTGGTGCAACTAAGGAGGAGAACCGAGTTTCGCCCCCCCCCCTTGGGCCCTTATTAGGACTTTTGTAGACTAAAATAAACTTATTTTTTTGCGCTTCGCGAACCTGTTTAATTAATTTACCTATGTCGTTTATTTTAAAGTTGTTGGAAAGTAAACACAAGCTATTAAGATTATGAGAAAGAGCCAATCCTTCTAAAATCAAAAAATTCTGTTTTGTAATTTACATCTTGAAAACAGGTGTTTTTTTCGAAAATGAAGTATTTGGAAGTTGAGTTGGGGAGGGTAGCTTGAGATGGTAGAATATATAAAAGAATATAAAAAGACTTCTTAATCTTTAACCAGCAATATGATGTTCTCTCATGAATCGATGTGGTTGCAAATTAAAGAAGTATATTGATCAGATCAGAGCTGGGAACTTTTGAATTGTGGATATCAGGATTAATGCTTAATCCACTCTTTTACTTAATCTCCAGATTAAATTTGGCTTGTTCTCCTCATGTTATTAATCTCCAGATTAATTAACCGATCGGGATTAAGGATATCCCATTCTAAAGAATACAGGGTTCTTTTCACTCGCTTTGACCGCGAGGGTGGTACGCGGGTCGAACAGTTCTTTTCTTCTATAAGAGTTACATCTTGAATCCTTCCTCTTTACTGGTTCTATAGCGACTGTGTCTAGCCTGTTTTTTGCAGATTGCCAAATTCAGGGCAAATTTAAAGATAGTAATATTTGACATTATAAACACTTTTAGGCTTAACAAAGATATAAAAGTGAAAACATGAAAACATATTAATAACTTTTGTTTCAAGGGGTCTAAACACCCCTTTAGCTAGACAGCATAATACTGCGCAAAATATTCACACAGGCTGGTTTTTTTGCACAGGCTTATTTCTTTCTAATACTTCTAAAATTCATATTTTCTTGTCCATAAATAAAGCATGTTTATAGTGTCGTAACTTTTATGAAAAATCCAAACTATTGGGATCCCAAACGATTATCAACTAATGTTTAAGATATTGGGATTAGGCTTGGTTTGGGAATAAGGTATATGAATGATATAGAACCAATTGGGAGTAGGTAAAAAAGGTTGGGAATTAGAAAGGATATAAACTAAAGAGGAAGTTGGGATTGGGATGGAAATCAGCTAAAGAGAAATTTGGGATTGGAAGATTTGGTTTTAAGAATCAATGAGAGCTAGGATGAAAATAAGGGTTGTTATATTGGTAGTTAGAGTGATTGGAAAGATTGGGCAAAGTAATGGATGTTTTTTGAGAACCACTGTACTGAAAGAGAATAAGCAATATTTTTAAGTTTAGTATAAAGATAACGATAGGATAAAATACTTGTGTGTAAAACTATAAGAGAATAAGTGATTTAGTGGATAAAAATGTTAAATAGGAATGAAGACGACATTTTGGAAAGGATGAATGTATTATAGTCAGGTTAGAATAAAAGAGAGAAAGGGATATAAAAATCATCTTTAGAATTATTCAATAATCCGACTCAATCTCCCCTTATTTAAAAAAAAATAACAAAAAAAAGACTAAAAATTTCAGTTTAGAATTGTGAATAAAAGAATGTCGTCTTCTGGATGACAACATGTCTACAGGGCAATGGCAAATGTATACGACAAATAAACTGTTCAAAAAAAAGAATATTAAGAGTAAGACTACATGATTAAAAAACTGATAAAGAGTATAAATGAGATATTAAAAAATGAAGTTCATCATTTTTGAAGTCTTGCTTTGTAAACTCCGAAAATCTATGAAAATTCACAAATAAATGTATATAAAAGTTAAACTTTCCTTAAATCTACTCGTCAGATCGTCGTTTTGTAAGATATAATAATGTTCTACCCCTCATCCCTTTAGTTCTAATAATTTCGATTATTTCCCTTCTTTAATGAAAAGTTTTTATTAAATTCCACAGATCTTTATTATCTGATAAAAACTAAATATGGACTTTCTATTTTTAGAAATTGAATCTGTATCTTTGTACATCGACATGGGAGGACACGAAAGCATATACGCTAGTATACCAGGATCTGACATAACATACGCCGACATGAATAGAGGATTGTTGACAGCTGCAGACATGACAAGTGGATTGTCGACAGCTGCTGACATAACTAGTGGATTGTTGACAGCTGCTGATATGACTAGTGGATTGTTGACAGCTGCTGACATGACTAGTGGATTGTTGACCGCTGCTGACATGACTAGTGGATTGTCGACCGCTGCTGACAAAAGTAATAGATTGTCGATAGATGCTGACAAAATTGGAAGATCGACTAAAGCCGATGACGTTCCTAGCAGATTTGATGTCCACCTGCATGCCGATATGGATAAAAAGTAAGATCTTCTGTCTTATTTGCAACATATTTTCCTTATCTGGGTTTTTGTTTGTTTAAATCTAAAGAACGGTTAAAATTAGGCCCAACACTTTATTATTACTTCTTCGCGCTATTCGAATTAAATTTGGGGCTGGTCAAAATTTAAAGGTGTCCCTCAAAAAACTTAGATTATTATCTTTTTATATTTTCGTCAAAAATCAATTCTTGAAATATTTAGGAATCATGAATACATAGCTCCTGTATACTCTCGACAAAATGCTGCACTGGAGTATATAAATGGTACAATCATTTAGAAATATTTAGCTACCGTACTCGTACATAAAATATACATGTACAATATACTTATATGATGTTTCTTGCTGCATTAACACTATGAATATGTACAAATATGTTTTAAGTACATACATATAAGTACAAATATTATTACCCATACCTAAGTTGTACAAATGTCGCCAGTACAGATAATTATTATGTTCAACTTTGTACATTAATATAATGTATTTACAGTCCTATTTAATATTTATAACCAATGTCCAGTTGATAAAATATTTAATGCCAAATATTTAGCGTGAAGTATTGATGAGATAAATTCGTGATAGTATTAACATATATAATTCAGATAATTTATCGGATTTATACGATTTGTCCCAAAAAAGAGATCTGTGTTTAGTTTTTAGAAATTTTATTTTAATCATGATTTTAATTTAAGGTTTCAGAAACCAACAAAAAACAAGTGTTTTTTAAAACATCAAAAATTACGTAATTTTGCTTAATAACAGTTTTTTATTTAGCATCATAGTATACAAGCTATTGGATTTTTAGCTATTAACCAGTTCAGGAATCAATTCTGAAGCCCTCCCAAGTTTTGAAATTTAAGAAAGCGGAATGAATCTTTTTTTCCGGACACACATTAAATATGTAAGTTGGAGATACAGAGATATAGGTTTTCAACCTGTATAGAATATCAACTTTAGCAACTGCCTACACCAAGTATAAAATCATGTTTTATGCAAATTTATTTTCATTTAATATGAAAATATTATTGAAAAGATATCCTATATTTTTTTTAGAAAATCAGAGAAACAACTTAAGNCTTCGAAAAACTAAATAATTTCTTCATCTTCATTTTAATCTTGAACGCACCCCCAGCTGTTTCAGAAGTATTTCTGGCGCAAAATTGAGAATTATTTCTAGCGTAGAATTTAGAAGTATTTCTGGCGCAGAATTATAAAGAATTTGTGGCGCAGAATTGAGAAGTATTTTGGCGCAGATTTAAGAAGTATTTCTGGCGCAGAATTCCTTAACGACTGAAATCTTAAAACTATGGTTACAAATAGCTTTACTATAAGTTAACTTTTAATATTGTGGCTTGAATTTGCTCTTGGTAGATTTATAGTTATCCATTGAATTAAAATTAAATCCTTGAATTCAAAAGTGTGCACTGTGGATATCTTCTATATTCTTAATAAAAACTTCGCTCTCTGATCATTTAAAAGATGTTCTTATACTAGTTAACATTATGAGTATAAATTATTAGAAATAAATTTAATTAAGAGACTCTAAAATACTAAATTTGCATCATCAAACAATTAATGGTTTTAATAAAACCGCATTTATATTTTCAGACAAAATATTACCATTAAGAAAAATTGTTTATTAGATGCAATGCATAGAGGCTATTTTAAACATCCAGGCTTAATGTATGTGTAACTTTGATAGTTCAGGTCCCAAAGCTCAATTTGCACAAATGCAAAAAGTGCATTTTACTGCACCAAACCATTTGTATCCAAATCCTAAACTAACAATGAACAAGAACCTCTAAATTATTTAAATCAAGCAATTTCTATATTTATAAAGTAGTAATCTCTGTTTGTCTGTCTGGTTGTTTGTCTGTCCGACAATAACTGTGGAACCCCTGGGCGATTTGCCTCAAATATTAATGCGGGAATGTTTTAGCCTGCATTGGATTAAAAATTATAATTTAAGTTGATTGACTTAAATTTCAGGCAAAACTGGGTTTCCATCCATCTTGGTAAATGATAAAGCCATGAAACTTAAAGCTATTTCGCAAACAAAAAACTTCAATTTTTGTAATGTTACTTTTTGTGCAATTTTTATTTTATGATCAAAACTGTATTATTTTGTTACAGCTTCATTGCCATGCAATGTGCAGGTTTTATAAGGTTTACCATGAGAATGAATAAAAACTGGTTTTATAGTATTTTTCTTAATTATACTGAATAATTATTTGACCTCTTTAAATGAATAAGAACAGTTTTAAATTGATATATTTAGCTTTACTGTTAATACTTCACGCATGTAATGCTATAGATTAATAATGAAAAACCTGTAATTGAATGAAGTACAAAATTACGATGAATCGTGTTCATATATTATTTTATCATTATTTATATTTATATATTTATTTTTTAAAGAAATAATTTCAGTGACCCCTGTTCACTTATAAAGTTTTAGTAAATTACTGATTTTAGTCAAGAAGTAACTATTAAAATCACTTTATAATAATCATATTTAAAGTGTTCTATATACATGTCATTAAGAGATTTTAACGGTTACTGCCAGTACCATGTGATAATGTAAAAATAAATAAACTGTGATATGATGTTTTATGATTTTATGAAATACATTCCATCTCTCTAGTTATGTGTTCTTTCCATCTAAAAATATTGGTAAATCATTGGGTTAGAATGGGAGAAAGGGAGAAGTAAAGATGGATTAGAATGGGAGAAGGGAGAAGTAAAGATGGAGTAAGGAAAATTAAGGAATATAAGACTTTATGACGGAATAGAAAAAGAAATAACCTTGGAATATAAAGATCTAATATAAAATTATACAGTAAAGAAAAAGGAATTAAGTAATATAAGACTTTACAAAGGAATAGAATAAGAAATAACCTTGGAATAAAAAAATCTAATAAAAATTAAATAGAAAGGAAAAACGTTTTCTTTTGCGAATCCTTGCGAAGGTGCGATTGCTATTATTGCAGTTTATAAACTTAAATAAAAACTCCCCATTTGTTAAATCAGAGTTGTTTAATTTGTAGACTCAAAAAAATTTCCTCCTGCGCACAAAAAAAAACTTTCTGTTATCACCGTTATGTTAAATGGTATTTAAGTCAAAACTATGATTTTACTGATTAAAATCATATGTCGCCTTTTGTTGCATAGTTTTGTCGAACAAATTTTTGCTTTGTTAAAACATCAAATGCGCTTAAGTTTTGCTTTTAGACCCAAGTTATAATTTTAAATAGTCCAATGAACATGAGGCACAGAAAATCCGTGTAAACACTAAACAGACCCATTTTACTTAATTAGTGATTTGATAACTTACTAGTAAACAATATCAAAAACAACACGTACTTCACTATTGCTTTTTGGTCTTCATATTCTACAGTTTTCTGGTTATCACTGTATGTATGTATATCATAACAACATTAATTATTTAATATTATAGGTGAACCTTATTCGGGGCATGGTTACATACATATATAACTACGTACAATCAAATAGATTCTAGTACAATAGATGGCAACGTAGAATTTGTACACTCTCAGTACATGCTGTATTCTTACGTCACAAGTGTCAATTCAGTTTTTGTGTCCAACCAACTTAATAAAAATAGTGACAATTTGTTAATAAAGTGCTTTACACTTCTTATTTTATCTTGGAAAATGTGTCAACTAATGTAAGACAATTTTGTTTTCCTTTGTTATATTTGACACGTGTGACGTCGTGTATAGTTGGTCCATTTCTCTGTTGCCATCTATTGTACTTGAATATCTATTGGCGTACAATGTACAATGTACACATCTACATTCAGTGAAAAAATCTTACTTGCAATAGTAGAGGCGACCCTCTTTTGTCGCGTGAACAGTCCAGCCAGGGCGCAAGGCCGCCTGTAATTTAAATCTTATTTAAATATACAATTTATAGTCCGGGTGCAAGGGTGCCTGTAAGTTGGATCTTATTTTAATCAATAGCCAGGGCGCAAGGGCGTCTGTAAGTTGGATCCTATTATAAACAACAATTTACAGCCCCGGCGAAAGGGCGCCTGTAAGTTGAATCTTCTTATAATCTTCAATTTAAAGGCTGGGCTAAGGCCACCTGCAAGTTGAATCTTATTTTCAGCTTCAATTTATAGCCCGGGCGCAAGGCTGCCTATGAGTTAAATCTTCTTTAAATCTGCAATCTTAAGCCCGTGCGGTAGGTCGCCTGTAAGTTTAATCGTATTTTAATCTACAATCTAACAAGCTTTGTTGAAGGGAATCCTGGTAAGACAATAGAACTGGAAATGCTTAAAACCAAATTAAACTAATAAAGGGAGGAGGGAACATTTCCCCCGGAACTTAGGAATATACTTAAAAATTTTGTTCGATTCAGGATGTTTGGGGTTTTATTTTCTTTTAGTTAAACGGTATCATCATAATTGTTTTTGCTTCTTCTGAGAAATATAAACATTTTCAAATAATTTATTTTGATTTTTTTGAAAATCTATAGCTTTCCAATTTTGTTTGTTTTTAAATTATTAAAATTAATATATGTAACCTGTATACTGGAGAGCTGTTGCTTAGATACACCCCCACCTGTTAACCCCGCCTCCCCGCTACCATGGCTTCCACAGCTCATTAGGCTAGGGGCGGGGGAGGGGGAGTAGCTTCCTTCCCTCTCCTCACTGGAGGGTGGGGAGGGGGCCTTCGAGGGTTGAGCCCCTTCTCCCCCAGGTTGCAGATACCATGGGTTTAAAAACATGTCACCTAAAACAAGTAATTTATCATTTAACATGTTTCCTTCTACATTAAACACCACGCAATCTTCTTTATCTTATAAATACTTTGCTTGTCTGTCTTTTGTATCCGGCCTATAACCTTGAATACGGCTGAACCGATCGGGCCCAATTTTTTTAAGGAAATTCACATGACCCCGGGATGTTTTATATGGACCGTGAAAGTTTAACAATTTTGCCCGAAAAAACATTTGACAATTTTTAAAAGCTAAATGAATTAGATTCTGAAAATGAATTGAATAAAATATACGTGAACATGTTACTGCACATATTTTAGTTTTAGAAAACAATATCAAAATAACTGTTAAGGAAGGAGGCCATTAGTGTGAAAAGAACTGATTAGGACAAATTTAGGACAAATTATTTTCCCCCACATGAAATCCCCTCGGAACTAAAACAGCAATATAAGGACTAACAAACTTTCTTCCTTCAAAATTATTTATAACACTGTTATAAAGTTTTTGAACAGAAATTTTCTCTATTGAGCCTTTTTAAATTTAATTTTATCCTGAGCGTTAGCGATCTAATCTAAAAAGGCGAGAACCTTTCGAGATTTAGAGAAAATTTAAGTTCAAAAACTTTTTAGCACGTCGTGCCAAAATAATAGTGATATAGGTAATTTTATGAAACGTCTGTGTATTTGTCTTATTTCAATGGTTGTTTCTAGATCAAATAAGCTTTGAACAAAGCAGAAGTCAAAATTTAAAGTTGATTTCAATTTTATTTTCATTTCAATTGAAAAAAAATATTTTGGAAATATTCTAGTTTTTTTCAGAGAAAATCCGGGTACCAATCAAAACATTATGTACAGCTTATTTAACATTATAGCACGGATTACTTTATAGCACGTTTATTATGAAATTCACGATGAAGTGAGTAATAATGATAAAGTACACAATAGTTTCATAAGAATAATTGTGTACGTATAAGTTTCTGAATTTCATAAAAGTTGTTTACTTATAAGTTGGAACCTATATAGTTTCTGAATTTTGGGGGAATTAATATCCGTTTTATTCCACGGTATAAAGTGCAATCTTAAAACTTGTTAACCCCCCCACCCCCCGTTGGAAAAAAAACAAACAAATTATTACACCGTGTTATATTTTTCAATAAAACGAAAGGAGCACTTATAGTAATAAGTTTCCATACAAATATAGAATACGAGTATGACTGTGATTTAAGGTTGCAAGCTCTCAAGCGAAATTGATGAGAATGTTGCCAATTACTTCTTTAAAACTAAAGCTATCAGCAAGTGCTGTATAGTGCTAAAATGTACATGTAAAGAGCTACAGAAAAGCATAAGCGAGTCAGAGGGTTAAAAGCACAAGGCGTTAAGACACTTTAAAGTCGATCCTGTCTTAACCCTATTCCTGCTNTTTAGACAGACGTATAGAGCCAGGGTTGGCTAGAGATAAAGTCGGGAAGACTTGTTATTAGAGTTAGAGTCAAGTATTAGGAGATTTATCGGGACCTAGATTGTTACATGTATGAGCGATCCATAAAATACGAAAGCAACTTGTTCCACTGATTTAGCACTTATTTGCTCAAAATTATAAGTTTTCGATTTGGTTATTCATTCAAAAATGTTGAACTCTCTAGCCCTATAAACAGATGTATTATAAACTGTTGTTAAGATGATTAAGTGGCTTCTCAGAACATGCTAGAGGTAGAATTCATTAATTTAGGTGTTAAATTTGTATCTGATAAGTCGGAGTATTATAAGATGTATCATGGGTATTGGGTATATTTGATGAGTATGATAAATCAACGTGCAATTCACAATAGAATGATATGAAAATTCATTTGATTATTAACATGAATTTTGATCCGAAAATATTTTCAGTAATCTGTATATGTAATATGTATGTATGTAAGTAATCTCTTTTTGTTTGTCACTATGGATGTCTGATCATAACTCATGAACCCCTAAACCGATTTTCCTGAAAATTTGATTGGGGAATTCGGTAGCACAATAGGAATGTTTTAGTCGGACTTTAAACTTCTAAGTTGAGTAGGTTAACTTTTATAGGCAAAGCTGGAATATGTTTAGTGGTTTATGTTTTATTCTTTACTAGCCTTATAGGGTGCTTCGCGCCCATCTTCTAAATTAATTGTGAACATGTTCTCTTTGTGTACATCG